TAAAAAAAAAAAAAAAAAAAAAAAAAAAAAAAAAAAAAAAAGAAAAAGGAGACAATAAAAAGACAGAAAGGAGGAGACAATAAGGAGACAGAAGGAAGGAGACAGAAGGAAGGAGACAATTATAAAGGAGACAATAAAAAGGAGACAATAAAAAGGAGACAGAAAAGGAGACAAAAAAGGAGACAAAAAAAAGGAGAGAAAAAAGGAGACAATAAAAAGGAGACAAAAAAGGAGACAAAAAAAAGGAGAGAAAAAAGGAGACAATAAAAAGGAGACAAAAAAGGAGACAATAGAAAGGAGAGAAAAAAGGAGACAATAAAAAGGAGACAAAAAAGGAGACAAAAAAAAGGAGACAAAAAAAAGGAGACAAAAAAGGAGAGAGTGTATATGTATACCTTGTAGTCCATGTACAAATACAATAAGATGTACACCTTGTTGTTTATAAGGAGAAGAAAAAGGAGAAGAAAAAGGAGACAAAAAAGGAGACAATAAAGGAGACAATAAAGGAGACAAAAGAGATAAAGGTAAATAAATTCCTTTCCTCCCTTTGCTGCAACCACGCAACAAACACCAATTATTTTCTCCTTTGCTGCTGCTGCTGTCTCCTTTATTGTCTCCTTTGCTGCTGCTGCTGTCTCCTTTATTGTCTCCTTTGTTGCTGCTGCTGTCTCCTTTATTGCCTCCTTTTTTGTCTCCTTTTTTGTCTCCTTTTATTGTTGTGCATTTACAATAAGTCTCCTCAATCATCACCGGACAATCAGCAGCAGGTGTTGCTCTGTACACAAACGCATGCATGCATGCATGCATTCTGCTGCTGCTGCTGCAGCAGCTTCTGCTGCGGAGGCGCGGGGGTAGGCGGGTATGTGCGGCAGTTCGCAGACACACGATCTATAGCAGCAGCAGCAGCAACAACAACAACACCAGGAGCAAGAGCACCAGCAGCAGCAACAACAATACTAACAACAGCAGGAACAGCAACCGCCGCAACAGCAGCAGCAGCCGCAACAGCAACAGCAGCAGCAGCAGCAGCAGCAGCAGCAGCAGGTGTACAGTTTATTGTCTAAGACATCAGGTAATCGATGATCAAGGAAACGAAGGAAATAACGCCAATCATCCTAAGGAGACAAAAGGAGACACAAAAGGAGACACCTAAATATATTGGACAGCAGCAGCAGCAGCAGCAGCAGTGGCTGCTCCAAGCCCTACTGGAGAGGAGCTTCCTCCCTTCCTACCCCACCAAACGCAGCAGCAACAGCAGCAACAGTAGCAACAGCAGCAGCAGCAGCAGCAGCAGCAGATGCCTACGGCAAGTTGCTGTGCATCTGTGGTTGTCCTTAGAGCCTGCAGCAATTGCTGCATTTGCTGCAGCTGCTGCTGTTGCTGCTGCTGCTGCTGTTCCCCTGTCTCCTCAATAGGCTGCAGCGCCAGCAGTTCCTTTAGGGCATTCATCTGTTCGTCTCCATACACAGAATCCTCTTCCTGCTGCTGCTGCTGCTGCTGCTGCGCTGCAGCAGCAACAGGGACAGTGCGGTGAATAATAAAGGGAAGAATTCCTTGGCATAAGAAAGCCCGCCAAGACAGACGCAAGGAAGCAACCATACCTGCATATACACCGCACAGCAGCAGCAGCAGCAGCAGCAGCAACAGCAACAGCAGTGATAGGAGTGGTAAGCAGAAGGTAGCAGCGGCAGTGCAGCAAGAAGATAGCTAACAGCAGCAGCAGCAACAGCAGCAGCAGCAGCAGAAGAAGAAGCACGTAGTAGTGGGGTTACCTTCCTGTGCGTATGTTAGGCAGCAGCAAACTCTTTGCCAAGCAGCAAACAGCTGACCAGCAAGTACATGCACGTCCTGCAGCAGCAGCAGCAGCAGCAGCAGCAACAGCAGCAGCGGCAGCAACAGTAGCAGGAGCAGCAACAGAAGCAGGGAGAGTAAATGTGCAGCATGTGGGGGCGGGAAGAGCAGCAACAGCAACAACAGCAACTGCAGCAGCAGCAGCAGCTGCTGCTGCTGCATGCACTTACTGCTGCTAATGCATCACATAATTCTTCAGCCGTGGAGGGGAAGGAGACACGAGACGTCAGCAGCGGCAGCCGCACAACAATTTTCCTGCTGCTGCTGCTGCTGCTGCTGCTGCTGCTGTTGTTGTTGCTGTTGTTGCTGCTGCTGCTGCTGCTGGTGCTGTTGCTGCTGCTGTTGCTGCTGCGTGTCTCTCTGCCAAGAAAGAACCTTGGAGGTGGGACCTCCAACTCTATAGTTAGATATTCCTTCTCTGTCCCCTCTGCTGTTGCTGCTGCTGCTGCTGCTGCATCTGCTGCTGCTGCTGGTTGTCCTTGGGCAGCAGCAGAAGCAGCATTAGCAGTGCCTACAATATCCTCGATCTTTATCTGCTGCCCCCCAGGCAGCAGCAAGTCTTGCTGCTGCAGCAGCGGGGACAGCAACAGCTGCAGCGGCGTGGGGAGACAAACCCTAAAGACATAGTTGGAGTGTACAGTCAGCTGCA